ACTGCTTGACTAAAAAAAATGATCGATTATATTTATTGTTTTCTTTATTTTTCTACATATGTATTGTATAACTTGTATTGTTGAATTTTTAGTTTTTAGTGCATTTTGTTTAAAAATTGCAAGTTGTGCTGCACAGAGTTGTAAAAAATAAAATTTGTAACCAATGTTAATAATGCATTTTTATAAGTCTTCTTACTTCTCGTTGAAGAGTGGCATTTTTAAAAATAATCACCAATATAAAAAGAAACATCAAAGAATAGAAACAAAATCGAAATTTAAAAAAGGGGTAGCCGCAATAATATATAATAATTTAAGTTATGCAAAAGCTCAAATGTTTAAAGAAACATTTGATTCATAAATTATTAAAGATTAAGATGAAAAATGCAAGACTTTGACAATATTTATAGTGTCAAAGTCTTGCATTTTTATTTAAGACAATTACTTATATAATAAATTGCCTTTCTCTGAGTTTTTGTGTAATAGTGTGACATGTCCAAGGACTTTATTACTTTGAATTATATATTTAGCCTGTGCAGAAAAGTTTGAGTACAAAATAAAAACAACCTTTATAGGTTATTTAATATAAAAAACAATATTGAGCACTAAATGTACATATAAAAATTGTTACTTACTCTTCATTTTCATATCGAACAAAACATCTTGATTTAATATTATCAATCCAGAAACCATTTTCTATTAATTTCCCCGTCCTTGCAAGTAGTCCTTTCAATTGTAAAACTGTAAATGGCCTCACAAGATTTGTAATATACAGTATTTCACTAGGTTTCTGAGTTGAATTCTGTTTAGCTTTCTTTTCTGGAACATTCTCATTATTGAAATTCTTCTTCTAGACCTTACTTGATTTCTGTCAGAATCAGATTTTTCATTTCTATCTGATTCAGATTTTCGTGACCTACTTCTTTTCTTATCTTCTCTTTCTCCATGTTCAGATTCTGGGAGCACAAGAAATTTATTATACATAATGTATTTTACAATATAATGCTATATAAAATTTCAAACATAAAAAAATAAAGTTTTTTACCAATCTGTCAAATCATAAGACAGACCCTAGACATCTAGGGTTAAAAGAAAAACAAAAGCATAAAAAAGTGATTTTTCAGAAATATACAGAAAAAAATTGAAGATACTCAAAAAACCTAATAAATATTCTTCAACCTGAAAATACTTTATTATAAAACTGTAATAGTAGTAGTATTTCCATCTTCATTTAATTACCAAAATAATAAAAATTAATCAAAATTATTTTAAAATGACTTCATACCTTTTCATGTTTTATTTGGTTATAGATCAAACAATCTTTTATTATAATGAAACATAAAATATTACCAAGTATTTATTATTAATATCAAAGGCCAAAACAAGTTGACTTCAGAAGCATTTAAAATTATAAAAGGCTATGCAAAAACAGAAACATAGAGGAAGAAATTTGCCACATGTAAAGTTGCAATGTATATTTATATTAAACTGAACAGAAAATAGTACTTTTAGAACTACACCATATCTATATAGAATTATTCTTTTTGTATATTCTTTTCTTACCTTATCTGATGGCGGATCATCAGCTTCATAATCCATAGCTGTCATATCTAATTTATCTTCTAATAATTTTTCTCTCCTTTCTTCAGACTTGGAATTAGTTCTAGGTCTTTTTTCTCTACGGATTTTGAATCAGTCCTATTTTTTCTAGTTTCCTCAACCGCTATTTTTGGTTCTTTTCTTCCAAAAGAACTTCATTAAGTGGCAAAGGTTTTACATCAGATATTAGATTTTTCAAAGAATCTGTAGAGATCGCTATCGCAGACTTCTTCTCAGATGTGGCAGAATTTTTGCTGCCCCATTTCCGTTTTCTTGTAACCTTTTCTGAATCATTTAAACTGGACGATGATTCAGTTTGTTGCATTATTTCTTTATTTTCTGAAGAACTCACTTTATTATTTGTTATTGTATTACTATGCTCAACAATTTCTCCTGGCTCTATATGTTGAGTCACATTGTTTTCCTGAACAAGCTCTGGCTTATTATCTTGAGATGCAACGTTTTCTTGAACATGTTCCGACTCTATAACCTGAGCAGTAGCATTTTCCTGAGTAGCTTGTGGTACTACATCTTCAATTATAGGTTTTGCCTCATGAATTTCAGGTTTTACTGCTTCAGGCACTAGATTTTCCTGAATGGCATCAGAATCTTGTGGAGAACTCTTGGATAAAGAGTTTTTAGAAAGTTTATCAACCTCAGAGTTCTAAAAATTAACAAATAAATATTTTTAAACTTATATACAAATAAATAACTTATTTAATTATATTTATGTAATTTAAAAATTAAACTATTATGACTAATATTAATAGTGTGAAACTAACCTCTTGTATTTCTGATTTTATTTCTGAAATTTCAGGATCCTTTGAACAGCTCTCAAGTGTTTCATTTGCTTCGGTCGTATGTATTTCATCCTTAATTGTTTCATCATTTTTGGTACCTTCTTGGACATGTATTGCCTCTTCGACTTTAATTACTGGTTTATCTTCAACAGTCTGTGGTTCTTCAGAAGCTTCATCTTTTAGTTCTGTCTTAAGTTCTACAGTTACTTCTTCATTTTAACCTCATCTTTATTAGAAATATCATTATTATCACCTTCTTTATTATTAGAAATTTCCTCTACTTTAATATTTTCTGTGACTTCATCTTTTACAACTGCAGATTCTTTTGGTTCAGAATTATTAGCATCGGGATCAACTGTTTGATCAGCTTGTTTTTCAACTTTATTATCACTACATTCACCTTTAGAATGAGAATGTTTTTTCGAACGCTTTTTTTCTTATATCTTCACTGGAATCTGCTGATTCCTGACTTGATCCATGATGCTTCCTAGGACTTCGTTCACTAGAGGACGGTCTTTGTAAGCATATCTTTAGTTTTGAATCTCACCTAAAATATTAAAAATATAAATCAAATAATTCTTTTTAGGACTTTATTCAAAATTATAAATTCTCAAAAACCTATTGTAGAGACATGAAAATGACCTAAACAAGGTTCAGAGTCCATTGCCTAAAATATAAATCTAATTGAATTTAGCAACTTAATACTGACTCTCAATTGTTTGGCAGAAAAAATTATTTACATTAATTTAGTCACATTCATATGGCAACCCTAATAATTAGAAAAATAATTTTCAACTAAACTTTATAAGTTATAAAAAAAATATAATTCCTAGCCAATACATAAATTAGGTATTATTAAAAATATTGTAAGACAACTTGAAAAGGAGCTATATAAAATACAAGCTTTATATCCTTTAATCTACTTTAAAACAGATTTTCAATTGTTGAAAAAAAATATCTTGAGGCATAAATTAATCAAATCAGTTGTGGCAACCTAATAGAATTATTTAATTGTTTCTTATCCCAGTTTCTAATCAAAATTAATTGTCAAAATACTTCATATTGAAAGTACATTTTTTATGTATGATATTTAACACATATTAATAACAATACTCTTGAAAATAATATAGTGAATTGATAGTAAAAGTAGTTTTAAAATTTGACCAGATAAGAAGGATGAACTACAGAAGGATGTAATTTTGCTTATTAGGATTTACTGTAACATGATGCCTTGAATCAATACATAAATATACTCAAAATATCAATCATTTTCTCACATCTTACATTTTCAAGTGGAGAATTTCTTCATGGAGAAATTTTATTCATGCAGAGTTATTAACAAATTTACTTTATTTCAACCTAGTAGTTTAAAATATTGTCAATCGACAAGAAAAAAAGCTTGAAACTCTCAACAAAAAATTTCAAAATTGTGTTCGCTTCATAAGTTGAGAAACATATATGTAAAGGTAAGATTTGACTATCAATTTTCACTTCTCGAGCAAAGATTAAAAAAGTCTTATTAAGCAGCAGTATGAATAAAATTGTGAACATGTAGATCGCCAGACTTTTCAAGCCTCCTTATATTTTCAAAAAGAGTAACAATAAAGATCAATACAACACATGTATTGTTTAGAAAAGATTCGTGAATATGATATGGTAGATGATTTTAGAAATCAGACTAGAACGTGTTACTCACCAGAATCCGCGGGAGCATCAGCGGATTTTACTTGCCAAACTGATTGCCCCTTAGATTCCCCGTCTGAATTACTGACAGAATCTTTACTGTCGGTAGAAGGATTCTTTGATACTACTTCTGGCTGCGTCTTAACATTTTGCAGTGTCTCATTATCACTTCCATGTTCTTCGTCGGTTTCAGGAGAGCCTCTCCTACGTCTAGTTCTGCGGCTAGATTTTTCGGGTTTTTTCTCGGGAGACCGCGCCTTATTTCGTTCACTTTTACGCCGCATTTTAAAAGGTTAACTCACAATCAATATAATAAAAACGTTCACATAAATGTCAAAATTTACTTATAACAGAAAGTCATTAACACGCTATTACATGTAAATAGTGATCTGTTTTTTAAAAAAACTTATAAAATAGTAATTTATAGGAGTATTGAATAAACAGTTATCAAATTCTTATTCAATTATTTCTTGTTTAAAAAGCACGCTATGTACATGTTATATTCCGCTCGGCTTGTTAAAAACAAAATGGACGATTGCAGTGGTGCCAAAGTAAGAAAGTACAGTAGAATTTGCGCGGGCATTTCAAAATGTAAATTATTATAAATTATGAAATTATGGACACGTTTAATTTTTGATAATAATGATAGGCAAAATATTCAGTAACGTTATTGTTCTGAACCTATACAAAATATGAATATTATAGTGAAATATATACTTTTATTAATATATTTACTCACACTTAAAAATTTACAATAAGCAATTATAATTACTTTTTACACGTAAACTCAACTTATTTCAATTAGACGAAGTACTTATTGTACTTTAAATCTCAGCTTTGTAAAACTATGAAAATAACAACACATTAATATGTTATTATCAAAAGCATATAATTATTTTTTGACCTTTGAGCTTGAATAATATTTAAATATGTATAATTTTCTATAAATTATATTTATTGGTTCTAAATATTTGGTAATATAGAAATATAAAGTTAAAATGTAAAAAAGGTCAACATAACATCATTGTCCAAGGCTCTTACTATCAATATCAATGGAACTAAATTGTAATTATACTTATATAATAAACTAAATGGTAGTCTTCATTTCAACAAAGAATTTTTGGATTTTTTTAATTTTTATATATATATATTATTTATATATATATATATATATATATATATATTATATATATATATATATATATATGTGTGTGTGTGTGTGTTCAGAGTAAAAAGCTATTTTCATATATCATATAAGTTATATTTCGTATACATTTTGTGGTTTGTGGTCCATATTTTAATTTGCTACTTAACATATTCTATGATTATAGATTTATTCAAAATTAATTTATCCAAACAGCTTATAAAATTGTATTTATCTTTTATCCATTCAACAATAAAATGTTAACAAAAAAATACACATAGAAATCTTTTCAGACATGGCCATTTAAACATTTTTTCATTAAGGTTATCAAAAATATATCAGGCATGGCCATTTATACATTTTTTTTATTAGAGTCATCAAAAAAATAGTATAATTTCTATGTTATTATTCAAAATCTATACATTAATAAGGATGTTAGAAGTTTGTTCGGTTAATTTTCAGGCAGAGGTTGCTATTGTAGTAATAGAACAATTTTAATCATCTAAAATTTGATTAATCTATTACATTTAATCATTCAATAGTAAATTTCCTTTTGGAATTTCGAATGGTTGTCCATTACGGTAAACAAAGTCTCCTCGTACAACAGTTGCATGAACTTTGCCCTTCAACGTCATTCCTAAGTATGGTGTTTCTTTATTCTTGTGTTGGATTATGTCTTTAGTGACCTTAAATTCTTCCTCAGGATCCCAAATTACTAAATCAGCATCCAAGCCTTCTTTGATTTGTCCTTTTATGCCATCCAGTCCAGTTAATTTCGCAGGTCCCGCAGATAATAAACGAGATACATCATGAGCTTTAAAGCCTCTTTTAGAAGCACCGGTCCATAATAAAGATAATCCAAACTGCATACCAGCAATTCCACCCCAAGCTTTTAGGAAATCAGGATGACAACCATTGCACAGGCCTTTCAGTGCAGCAGGTGATGGAGAATGATCACTGACTACCATATCAATATCTCTGTTTTCCAAAGCTTGCCATAATTTTTCTTGATTACTTTCTTCTCTAATTGGTGGAGCGCATTTGTATTCAGTATGTCCATCTGGAACATCTTCAGCAGCAAAGGTTAAGTAATGATGACAAGTTTCAATCGAAAGTGGAACGTTCTCTGAGCGCGCTTTTTCAATTGCGGTAAAGCACCTGCTGCTGATAGATGCACTATGTGAGACTAACTTTATATTTTTTGTGAGGTCTATAATCATATCAATAGCATTTACTTCCATACTAGGAGGGCGTGTTTTTAGATAAGTCATGTACTTCTCAGTTTCATTGCTTGTATCATTTCCTTGAGGAGCGGGTAATTCGGCATGGTACAGAAGTACGGAATTTGCTTTTTGGAGCTCTTTTAGAGCCATTTCCAGATCATTTTTAGTAACCTGTGGAAACTCATCGACACCACTTTCACTTGTAAAACATTTGAATCCTCTTACTCCGGCGTTGATAAGTGGCAACAATTCGTGCGCATTGCCAGGAATCACGCCTCCCCAGAAAGCGACATCAACATGCGTTTTACCACAGGCTGAATTCACTTTTGTTCTCAAATTCTCTACAGTAGTTGTAGGTGGGATGGAATTCAAAGGCATGTCTACTATTGTGGTAATCCCGCCCCAAGCTGCTGCTTTAGTAGCTGTGGTGTATCCTTCCCAGGATTCTCTTCCTGGTTCGTTGACGTGCACATGAGAGTCTATCACACCTGGCCATATTGAAAATTGACCGTAGTCCAACACCTCAACTTTAGTTTCGTTAGCTATCCTTTCCACTTCTTCTCCTAAAATTATAAAGGTCAATTAAAAATCGGTTTCACTATTTTCAATTAGTAAGATTGGCCATCGCATAAAATTTAAAACTTTCATTTTCGGCTCTATATTTGATTTGTTTCATTTTCATACAATATTTAACATATTTTTAAAATAATAACATATTTTAGATAAAATATATGAGCTCTGCAAGCAGCCTCTTACAAAATAAAATTAATTTGTTATTCACCTGAAATTATACTTTTTATTCTTCCGGAGGAATCAACTACAATGCCAGCATCTCTTTCAGTACCATCACCGAGAAGAACTCTTCGGCTACGGAATATCTTCATTGGAGGCGCGTTGTTGGTGCACGCAGCATTACTTTTGGATTTAGAAATAAATTAATTTTGGATTAAGAAAAAAAAATTAAACATAAATATAACGATCTCTCTACAAACCCATATAAGTTTTCATTTTGATTCTTTTAGCCTTTAACTTTATTTTATATGAAAAACTCATATTTCTTCCTTTGCATCGGAGGCTTTACATTTAGATAAAAGAAAACAGATTATTTGACTTATTTAAAGAAATAATTATAATTCAGAAAAAGAATATTTATTACTTTTATTATATTCATTACGTTTATTATGATTGGTTTTACCGAGCCAAACTGATAATAACATGCATGTATATGCTTATATAGTCGCACAGTTTTTTAACATTATCTATTATTTAGTCGTTAAATTTTAATAACATTTATTTATTTATATAATTTAGCGCTGCAATCTCTAATACAAAATTACGTGATATCACCGCACATTTTATTTGAATATTATTATGTCAACTTTATAAGTTGGAAATACCACAAAAACTTTAAGTACACATTTATGGATTTTCCGGGGCATGTTTACTATTCCGGGGAAACATTTAGTATCAATACATATCAGTGTTTATATAAATATAAGTGATAACTATCAGGTGTAGTAAAACTTGAAATAGGATATCATTTAAACAAAATAATTAGAATTGGGCAGAATGTCGTCTTCTACGTTGTTGCTATTTTTTTAATATTTGAGTACTATTTCGCTAACTTCGATAACAAACTTATTTGGACCTATGGTAATCGTGTAAGAGGCACAGTATAATGTGATCAGGCAAATAGTAAATGCATCCAAATTAAATTTTATTGGAGGACTAGCAAATTGGAAGATCCAAATATATTCTAACCTGACTACTTTACAAAGTTTGAAAATAGATTCAATTGGAAGAAAAAAAAAGTATGAGAATATGGTTAACAGCATAGCTAGAAAATTATTACATTAATTTCAAATTAAACAAATAAGATTTATAGAAAAATAAAGTTCGGTTAATTAACAATCATCAATTTTGTTTTTTCAAAATGAGAAAGAAACTTGAGACACCATGGTAAACCAATGCAATAATGATTTCACCATTAGTAGTATTTAATTAATTAAATTAATTATCATTAAACCACTGTGACTTTTTGTAATCTATTACTTTATTTATTCTGTAGAAATCAGCTTAAAAATGTTGCTTTTTTATACTAAATGAGCAAAAGAACGTAAAACACAATCGCACGACACTGGAAGAAAATTTTTACTAAATATGCGCTAATAAAGAATTTATTCAATTAAATTAATTATTAAAAAATGGGTTTGAAATAAACTGTAGTACTATTTTTTCAATTTTTACTTTTTATCTTTAGTTCTTTAATTTTGGAATATTAATAATAAATTTCACTGTGCAAACTCTATTGAATAATTAACTTCCCATAGGGCAAATTATAGCAATCGCAAAAAAATCGATAATGAAAATTTTTATATATTTTTACGTTTCAAAACCTTCTGAACAAATGTTTGGCATACCTTAGAAAAAATTGATGTATGTGTGTGTGTATGTGCGTGTAAGTGTGTTTGTGCGGATACAAATTTTCGTCGACGATTTTGGGAACACGGATGAAGCAATTTGAATAATTTAAAAAACGTTCGATTCGTATTGATAAGGAGATGTGCTGATTAGTTTTTGGCGGAGACAGGTCCAGCCGTTCCGAAGATACGGGGCAAAAAATGCCAAAAACGGTAACTCAGTTTTCAAGAGAACGGAGCGTCCGATTTCATTAATTCATTCAACATTTTACTTGTATTGATAAGATAAAGAATTGATCAAATTTTCATGAAGGCAGGTTTAGCGGTTTCGGAAATCTAATGAAAAAAGTAAAAAATGCCATTTGGCGGTCAAAAATGATCATTAAACATATGCACATCAGATTATCGGATATTTTGTAGAGATTTTAACAATAAGTATAAATTTTGTTTACATTGTTATGAGTTCCATACCCATGTTCATCCGTTAGCCGCCGACGCGGCGCTTACGCGCTTTGTCATATCGTCTCTATGCAGTTAAAGCCAGTACGATTGCTTTGAAAAAAAGTTCAGAATTTTCAAAATATGTCAAAATGAAGAAAACATTTTTTGTCAAAAAATAGTAACTTTTTGTCAAATTTATAGTTTCTCAAAAATCTAATTTTTTCGAAGTAATTTTTTTTCAAAAATGTTAATCGTTTTTAAAAAAATAATAATGTTTGGTACGGGAAGTTCCAGCAATTTGCCTTAAAGCACGATGCCATGCGCCCCACTAGTTTATTTAATTAAATGGAGTAGCATAGGAAACACTTAGCCTACTATTTTGCCTGCTTCCAGAATCTGATCAAAAGTTGTAGCTATTTTGCACTAAATGAGCAAGAAACGCAAAACGCCCTCGTACTGTCTGTTGGATGCTCTAAACATAGTACTTTATATCAAAGTTTTATTCAATTAAATTAATTATCTTAGACAATGTTTGACTACCAAAGGTTTTACTAGTAATAATCGCCTATCCCCAGAAAATAAGCCAAACCAACGCCATCGCACGACACTGGAATAATAATTTCGCCAAGTGTTCTCTATTAAATAATTGATTTAATTAAATCAATTACCATCAAACGTGTTTGACTCTGCCTTGTCTATGTCTAGTATTTCACCTGCCCGCAGACTTCAGGTTAGAAGTCGCTGCCGATCCCTACCTATGCTAATGGCTCTCAAGAAGCGCGAGTCGAATCCCGACCAACACTCACTTTAGTAGCGGTTGTTGAGTGACAGTGTTAACATCATAAGTGAAATTTTTTAAACATGTGTTTTTTGTGATTACAATCAATATTATTTGTGAATTATCATTAGTTTTATTACAGAAGACACGACATCGTGAAATAACAAATTTAGTGTAAGTATTAATTCATCACACTCTATATTTATTGATGATTCATTCATTCAATGTTTATGTTGTTAAGATTGACGATACCGTTTGAATTTGGATTGTAGAAAGTACGGTGTATGTATATTTTGGAGAGAAAACGGTTCTTGGTTAATTTTAAACGATTTGTAGAGATTGTATATGATATGCAGTTAATATGAGTCTTTGAGGGAATTGTAATAAATATGTAAACAAAACTTTATCTTTTAGAATAGCAGTATTTTGCTTTTATTTAGCATATATAAAAATCTATAATTCAAGATATAAAAATCTTCAAACCTATAAATATAATATATATAAATATATACTTAATTATTTAATTTCAATAAAAATATTATAGGAGGATGATTGAAAAAGCGATTGAATTTCAAATGCAAGTGAAAGATCAATTCAGGTGTATTAAGATTGATATATCATATGAAAATAATTTTTTTTCTAATTGATCTATCAATTTCATTTATCATTCTTTATTATAGAGAATGATTTATCAATAAATATATCAACTAAAAAATAATCCAAATTATTTATATTTTTCTATTTCATCTAACAAAAGCTATTAAAATATTCTCTCTAATTGATATATTTTTGTTATTGTTATTGATTTAATTTTGTTAATTATTTTGTAATTATATCTGCGCTGGTAATTGATTGATAACAAATGAATTTACAGATATTTTAATTTTTTTATAAATGATGCAGACTTATAATTTATTCTCGCATACAGTTTGATATTGATTAAATGAGTTATTATAGTTGAAAAATACGCATAATATTTATCTTTATATTAACATTTAGAAAAAAAAATTAAATATCAATTAACGCCATAATTAGCATTTCCATTTTAAATTTTGTTACCGTTAGATCTATATGGTATTCGTGCTTTTAATAAACATTATAAATAAATAAATGAATAATACGTTTTATAAATAATTACATTTTAATATTGATTAAAATATTTTGGGTAAAAGTTTTGTATAACATTAAATAAAATAACAGCAATTTATCTTTATATTAACATTTAGAAAAAAATTTAAATATCAATTAACGCCACAATTAGCATTTCCATTTTAAATTTTGTTACCGTTAGATCTATATGGTATTCGTGCTTTTAATAAACATTATAAATAAATAAATGAATTATACGTTTTATTAATAATCACATTTTAATATTTTGGGTAAAATTTTTGTATGACACTAAATAAATAACAGCAAGATAATAACTAAAATTACAACAATAGAATTATAAAATTATTTAAATATCAATTTATTAATTGAACATGTTAAAGCAAGGATTTAATAAGTTTACTCTCAGATTGCTCGTACAATAATCAAACAATTCAAATATTTAAAATTAAATAAGAACGTGTAATAAAATTTAATAATCCGAATTAAGCAAATGAAGCAATTTAACAGATATACAATACAATAATTATACTATTGTAATTTTATATGCATAAATAAATAAACAATATATAAATTTTTAAAATAATAATATTATAGCATATCAAAATATAAAATTGATACATATCTAATGGTACTTACACAAGGTTCTTGCAATTCAGCATAATGACCAGAAGAAAACTAAAAAATGAAAAATAAAATTTTAATTAAATATTAAAAATATTGACAAACACAATTACATTCCATTTAATATGAAAAAAGTCGAAACAAGTCCAAATCACCAATAAGAAGAAACTAATACAATATTGCAATAACTGCAACCTGACCACACAATTAATTAGGAAATACCAAAGAAAAGACTCTGAGAACAGTTCCCATTGAAAAGAAAGTTAGAAGAAAATTGTATTTATTGTCATTTCGTTATATGAAGAGAAAAGCAAGCAAAGGCAAAGAAGTCATGCATAAAAGTTTACATTATTTATACAACTTTTGAAAACACACCAAAGAGCATGCAAGAAATACAAATTTTATATCCATAAATATTATTTTTGGAATTCATCGAATCTTATTGCTTGACCATAAAGATTTAACAATTAAAAATCTTTATTATATTATAGTTTTTTATAACTACAAATCGAGGCACAAAATTTAAAATAGAGCAAATGAACACCAAATGTGCCAGAACTCCTGGTTTGTATTAACAATCTATAGCTAATGAGAGATCAACAAATAATAAAAATATTAACAAAATATAAAAAGTTAGTTCATAACACAAGAAATTTTTTTTAGAAAACTGCATTCAGTTATACATTTTTTTGTTTACTCACATTTATTGACTTCTAGTCTTTGATTACTTTTCATAGAATTATTATTCTGAGATCTATCATCATTACAAACTGAGATTTCTATGAACTAGACATAACATAATGGCGAGACTAGGCATTTTGCCAATAAATAGTAATGCAAATTTCAGTAAACAAACAAATGAGTTTTTGCCAAAAAGTGTTGAGTCTTTAACTTTATGTAACAAATTTTATTGCAGTCACAATCTAAAATAGATAACTGCTTTGGTGTATTGCAAGACTATTGATTTGCATATTCATTCGAAGTTAAATGTTGGTTTTATTTCTATAAATAACTATATATTTATCCAATTTAAATCTAAAAATATTAAAATTCTGTTTAAATATCAGGCATTAAAGTAATAGAAATTCTAAAATATTTAAAATCTAGAATTTCAGGCATTCAAATAATTTTATCACTCATAAAATAATTATCATCTACTTTTTATGCCCAAACACAAGCGAATTTAATGGCAATTCCCAGCGAATTAAATCCAGCGTATTTCTAACATTCCAACAATTAATTATAAGAGTTTTGGTTAAAAAGATTTCATATCTATACACTAGCACCAAATGTGTTTTCTTGATAAGTAAAAATAAAAATTCCATCATGCAACTTCCCAGCAACATAATTAAATCTTCTAAGAGCACCCTTCGAGTAATTGTTGTTTTATGGCTAATGAATAATTTTATTAGCCGTCTGTGATACGCAAGTACATATATTCGCATAACAAAGCGATAAATCGGAATTAAAATAGACATTCCTTCTACAACTTAATGTTTCCTTAAAGCAAATACACACACACAAATATATACAAAAATAAATTTATTTAAAATTGTACAGTTTCAAAAACAAAATGAATCTCATCAAAAATAGCAACAGCAACAAGGGAAAACACAAACAATTAAAAAAAATAATCTAATTATAAATAATTAATTATAAATTATTCACTTTTGCTTAGAAAACCACGTAGGTTTAAAATAGGCTAATTTATTATAAACTATGTATAATCACGTGGTTTTCTAACCTAAAATTTTATGATTTTTGGTTCCTCATCTAAAACAAAATGTGCCTCATCAACAACAAGAAAAAATACACTACACAAATAATTTAAAAAAACAAACTAACATTTTGCTCAAAATTTATGCAATTTTAGGTTAGAAAACCATGTGTGTTTAAAATAAACATGATTTTATTATAAACTGTGATTGGTCTGAGCTCACGTTTTTTAAACCTGAAATTGAATGATTTTTGTTTAAAAATGTTAGATTTAAAATATGTGTGCATGACGTTTAATCTGTTTGTTATTGTTTTGTTTTCGGCGAAGAACCAAAAATTATAAAAGTTTAAAGAAAATCCAATAAACTTTGAGTTAAAAAAGCCTAAAGCCACGTAGAGTTCTAACCTAAAATTGCATGATTTTGGTACTTCTCATTGAATTAGCAAAAACCGTTCCCCAAATAATTTCAATTAAAAATCATAAAATTAACATGCCCATTATATTAGCATAAAATGAAATTAGAACCATTGATAAGTGTAAAATTATATATGATGTTACAAGATTTAAAACTTTATTTAAGGAATCAACTTTTAACAACTTAAAATGAATGAAATGAATGAAAATAATAAAGTCTTATTTTTTATGCAAGGTATTGAAAAGATTTTAATATAAATCATCATAAATTAATGTTAAACAAGTAAAAATGTGTAATCTAAGAAAAAATCATCAAGTATTTACTAATTTGTTCGAGAATCTGTTAAGGAATAAGGTTAAGAATTTCTTTTTTTTTAAACACAAATTGCAAATAATTAGTTCTACCTAGTTTAAAAATATTAAAAGTTATAATAATTTTCTTAGAAATTGAAATTAGGACATTAATTAATCTAGAAATTTGGTAAAGAAAATATCATGGATGATGATTCAAAATATATAGTTCTACCTTCTTATAGTTCCACCTAGTTGAAAAATATAACAAGTTATAGTAATTTTCTTAAAATTGGAATGAGGACACTAATTAATCTAAAAATTTGGTAAAGAAAATATCATGGATGATGATTTCCAAATATTTAAAGACCTCTTATTTGTGGTAACATGTAATGACTTGTGAATAGTATAAATTAATTAATTAATAATTTTAATTAAATATTTTCTTAGGCATCGACTATTTCCATTTATATTGCTCCCATTGTCCACAATGCATTCATATCCGATTCAGAAAGTGCGTGGAATTCATCCATCAGTCATGCTAATAAAATATTCTAACGGCATTTCGGAAATGAACATTAGTACGAATACCTAAGACCTGTATAAGGTTATCGAGGAAATGAATTAGCGATCTCGATGAAAATAATTGGAATTTACAGTAATTTTTAACTTCCTGATAGGTATAGAGATGGTTGCACTAATTCCAATAGTTCACATAATAATAGACATAAAATTAAAAAAATACCATTTAGATATATCCCCGTTTTTTATAAAAACTTAAGAACCATTTTAGTCATTTACAAATCATTTAAACGAATGGCTTTAATCAATATGATTCAATTACCAAGTAAAAATGAGATTAACCGACTGACAATGAATAGCACATATATTTTTCCATAGAAGCAACAAAAGTGTTCGACAAGAATTTATAAATAATTCAAAAATTTCAACAAGAATTGGTATTAAATTGTGAAAATTATAAAATATATCTATCTCTTGTTCTTGGTACAAGTTCGACATTTATTCGATTAATTGTATCGAAAATTGTTATAAAGTTTCAGTACCTGTTTATTAAAAATTGCTCATTTGTATGTAACCAGTTAATATATGTATATATATTATAACCAGTTAATATATGTATATAATGGTAGTCCTTAATATGGATATTTTCGAATTTTCTTGCTCCCAGAAGCTCAAATGCTTCAAAATTGATAAAAAAAATGACCATAAATAACAAATTTACAACAAAACTTTGATATATTTCATAAAATAATTATTTAGTTAAGAAGAGGAACCAAGAAACTTTGGTTGGAGTGCGGACTATGTTCTGTTAAAACTTTCAGTTTTTTTGTTATCAATTTGGAAGCATTTGAGCGCGTGGGACCATGAATATTCGAAGACATCCATATTAAGGAGCATCCTAATATATATATATATATATATATATATATATATATATATATATATATAATATTTAATTCCTTTAGAATCTAACACTGCCCAATATTAACCTGCCCAAAGATAATGTGACTCATCATTATCTGAGTTAAAAACAAAATTGATGAGTTAAATATAATACCATTTTTAATATATGAAGATTATTAATGTATTTGTCATAGATTTCATAAATCTTTTTTATAAAAAATATAAAGCTATCATAGCAAAATTCAAGGGTCATCCATTAGTCCTAACTCTCACGTTCGACGGCCCATTAGAAGACAACAGCCAAGATGATCCCCAAGTAATAACAAATTAAGAAAAATAAATGAAGACATGCATATGAATGAATAAAAATGTTGAAAAAATCATACATGTTCAAACAAAACGATATTAAATCTTTTATTCTATACACTTACGATAAAATATTAAATAAAACACACACTTGCTATGAAATCTTGAGTATTACTGGTACAGGCAGCTACCCACGCTCTTAACAAACTAGTTATGCTCAAGAAAAGAGGCAAACAAGTATAGTCAGCGACAATGAAAGTGACATTTAAACATTGGTAAAATAAAAAAATAATGCATCGGTGATTGATTAAAATATTTATCCAAGGAAATTAATTGCATATAATGTAATTGGTTCGTAAATGCATTTTAAGCGCACAAAATTCAGGCTGAAATTGCCAACGTAGTTATGAAAATTATTAAAACTATAATTATAACCCTTGTAGCTGTGGATGTTAAATACTGATTTGTTTATATATTATGTATTTGTTGCAGTTTTTATTACAATCACTGATTTGTCACTAAGTTATAATGAAAGAAGATATATTCATTGGTTATTTATTACACTTGTTGTTTTGTGGCTTTATTTTTAGAAGTGAATAATTAGTTCCAATAAACTCTCCACTACCTCCTCTACCGGGGGCAGCAACCATCCCGTGTAAAAGCTCAATGCCATGAAGATTGTCGTTTCATGGCCAATATAATAAAATGAAAATACGTCCGAGCAAATTATTTTTCAAGAAAGAACGTGGTATATAGAATAAATAAGATAGCTAAATCATTTATACATGGTTTATGACATTAATGGAACTAATTAAATTAGTTCCTGTATAAATATAATATTTAAACGTATTATTCAAATTTATACAAGTACAAAATATAAAATTATCATTTAAAAGTTAGTGATTTTGATTGAACGTTATATATAATAATCCATAAATATAAATATTTTTTAAATAAATTTTACGCAAACGTTTTCTACATAATTTACGCTGTGATTCTCAATTTCCTACAACTAATTATTTTTTAAAGATGAAGACTATATGTAAATAATAGAATAGCTAAAATCTATAAACAATATTTATTACTTGTAAAAATAAAACGTTTAAACAGGTTATTCAAATTTATACAAGTACAAAATATCAAAAAAGCATTTAAATGATAATGATTCTTTTTGGATTTAATAACATTTTAACTCTAGCATTTCTTACCCTATAATAATGATTATTAGTTTACTTTTTGGGGGTAAATTGAAGGAAATTAAAACTTGATTATGAATCTTTAAATCATATAAATATTATCACAATCATAAGACAAATTTATTAAAAAAAACCTATATTTTATATTTATTTTATGTGCTAAATAATCAAATGCATTTAGCTAGAAAAATCATATTTTACGCATGATTTATATTCGTTAATCATGACAGAAATAATTACCAAGGATTATTAAAAATAATAGGATTAAAACATTTTATTAAAAAAATGTTTTAGAATGCTAAATGATTTAATCTATTTAGCTAGTAAAATTATGTATGATTTATATTCGTTAAATGAAGACAAAACATCTAATTCTTTTATCTGTGTTAGGTCCAGAGTTTACAGTTTAAGAAATATGATAAATTACCATGAAAGAGATTTATATCTTTAAAATGAAGCATGAATTTCAAATATTTGTACAAGTCGATATACAGTTATGAATTTCAATGCCCTTTAGAAGAATCAATGAAAATGAACAAAATTTACAGAAACAAAGAATGAAAATTAGGAAAAATAAAGGTTTGGTTGACTTTTTATCAGAAATATTCTATTTGATATTGCAACTTTATGTTTTAATCGACATTGTAATGCTTTTGTTCTTTTAGTGCTGGACATGGTGGTAACGAATTCAAAAATAACTGTTAAAAAAATCTATTAAAATTATTCCTGTTCTTAAAATTCAAATGATTACTAAGTTTTAAAATAGCAGTTCTTGAAAAAAAAATCCCTTTATATATATGTCCAAGTTGGTAACAAATTCAAAAAAAAAACTCTTAAAAAATCTATCAAAATTATTCCTGTTCTTAAAATTTAAATGATTACTAAGTTTTAAAATAGCAGTTCTTGAAAAAAATAATCCCTTCATATATATATATATCTAAGTTGGTAACGAATTCAATAATAACTGTTAAAAAAATCTATTAAAATTATTCCTGTTCTTAAAATTTAAATGACTACTAAGTTTTAAAATAGCAATTCTTAATCAAAAACCAATTATTTACGTAGTGTGAAATTTACAGCTTTTTAAATTGCTGTTCAAGACTATAAAAAAGCTATTCATGATTCCTTTATTAATTAATTTTATACAGAAAAATATATGATATATAACACTTCGAATAAATATAACATATAAATTTAATATGATATATCAATATATAATTATTATATATTAATAATTAATTAAATATGAAATATTTAATATATAATAAATAATATTTAATATATAACAAAAAATCAATTGCGCGATATATAAATCAACAAGCGGAACAATATATTTATAAATATCATTTTACGGACTGCACTAAATATAACCATGTGATATTTTATATCTAAAATTCATTTTTTCTCATTATAATTAGATAGATATGCATATAAAACTAACTGACATAATACATGCAGCAAAATGTGAATGTGTATATATTACAATGCTCCTTAATATATCATATTATAGAAATTTATTAAAAGCTCTTTATCAGACATGCGTACTTACAGCTTTATGAATCAGAAAATAGATTATTTTGATATAAACTTTGCATCAAATCTACTCTCAAAATTGAAAAAATGCCACATGGGCATCTGTATCAAAATGACTCACTTTTATTTATGAAACTCATTCAGCTGGCGTTTATAAACTGACCTTACCTTAAAGTTTGATGGTCAACTCCCTCTTTGGAAAAATAATGATTTTAGCCTGAGTAAGAACCGTTGTCGATTAAATTAATATTAGATACACAGATGGTCCATATTAACGAATATGTTTTCAACAGAAAATTTGAATTTTATCTCGTCGACGATCCAAGTCATTCTGAATCGTCTAAGACCAAAATTGAATAAAATGTTCCTTGTGTTTGTGTCCCATTATCAACAAATGTGCATTTAATATCGCCTATCAATTGCAAATCATGTAAGTGTAATTATTTTATGATTTAAAATGTAACGTACTACGTAATATATTTAGTTAATCGCAGTTATTTCCCCGGAACGTGATATTTTTTGCTGGTAAATATTATTTTTCAGTTCCATTCATTTCGATAATACATTATGCCATATGACACGTTTCACAGAACATTTTAAATATATGTTAAAAAATGTAATTATGATAAAAATTGTTATATATAATTGCTAAGCTGTTTTGTGTTCAGTATTTGCCTGAGCTTGAATTAAATTAAATTGGAAATAGTTTTTCTGTTTTTTTTTATGATAAAGACCAAAATATTAGAATAAATTATTTATGGATGTGAAGTTTAATTTAATAAGTTTCATTAAATGAGTTTGAATAGTTATTTTGGTTATAACAAAAATATTTTGCTGAAGATTCGGTTCGCTCAATATTGTACCAGAATTTCATTAGAAATCTGATCAAGTAAGTGGTATATCAAGTCATAGTTTATAATTTTTTTTGTTGTCCTGATGATATTCACAAAAAATCTGTATAAGATTGTTGAATAAAATTATCATATCATGCATTACAAACCACAAGCAAAAATACACAAATTGCCAAAAATAATTGCCCCAAATATTTCACTTCTTATAAATTAAGACATGCATCACAAAGCACATTTCCAAATACTTACAAATCTCTTAATTATAATACTTAAATAGTATTCATATACTATTTAAATATGTTTAGGAAAAATAAAAATTTTAAGTATCATTATTATCAACTCACATACAGGTACTGCTTTTCATTTTGATTCAGTAATAGATTACTTCTGCAATAAAATCATAACTAACAATAAATAATAAATTTAGTATATTTAAAATAAAGAAAAAATTAAAAATATTTATATGTCTTTCTATTTGATCATTGTAGTGAAGTACAATGATCAAATCAATCAATAATCAACATAATAATTAATGATTTCTTTGTATATCGGTATTTATAAAAAAGCAAAAATCTTTCAATGTGTCTCACCAAACAATTTAGTACCAGGAGCTTTTTATAATAAAAGATCTTTCTAATTTATATTATATTGTACTATCATGATTAATTACATTATGTTATTTTTAGTAATTTCATCTTCTGCAATATATTATTCGCAAAATATTGAAAAATATTCATAAATTGCATATCATGGTACATTGAAAATAAGTATGCCAGACTGAAATTAAATTCAAATGAAAATATTTGACAATAAAGATTAGAAGTTCTTTTGAAATAAAATATTTCATTTATTGCAAGACATGCTTATGAATATTTAACAATACATTTGAACTTCATTTAACTTATCTTCAGCTATTGTATTCGTGTTACTTTGAATGCACCACATAAAAGGTAAAAATTCAACGGTTTATTACAAAAGGCAAAAGACGACCTAGTTACCGTTAATCAAGTTGATCGAGATATGGTCTCAGACCGGGTTTACATATACAATTTTAATAATTTATTATTTATTTAAGTCCATAAACCACCGTAGATTTGAGAAAAGAAAAAAAATGTTTTAATTGTAATTTTTAGTTAATTTAATACACAATCCGATATTAAATACATTATGCATTGAGAGTCAAATCATTAATTTTAAAAATTATTCTAATAAACGCATCGAAAATAGAATCACCAAAATCATGAGATTCATTCTTCGCATTAGTTATTGCATATTATATTTACATTTTTGGAAAAATTTTTTTTTTACTTATTTTTGTATTGCATAAGAGCATATTTCAAATATCAATAGAATTTATGATAAAATTGTACAAATAATTATAGTTAATAATACGAATACGCAGCGGTATTTCAGGATTTCTATCAGAAGTTCCAGAAAGTTTGATACTGCCTCGAACAGCCCTGATGTCAAGCAGTAGTTGCATTGGTTAAACAATATAGATTGGAATATATTTTCAAGTAAAAATAAGCATTCCCGGCGTGTCTGCATCAATAAAGCAATCAATGATTTACTAGAGAAATTGTAAAAAGAAATTCATCACCCAGGCATGAGACTTTTGACAATCGATATCCAATATCTATAAAAGAAGAATTTTTTTTCCTCTAAAGCAAATGTTTCGTCAACACAAGCAGACAGTTTTTAGAATCATTCAAATCGGATGCTTAGTTCTCTCAAAAGCTGCCACTTTTTGCACATTTAGCTTGATATCTCCAAAAAGGCTGAACCTGCTTTGGCCAAAAACTAATCACCATTTTTCATTCTTTCTTTCTCAAAAACTCGATTTATACTCTCTGCACTTTTTGCTTCATATCTCCGAAACGGCTGGACCTGTCTTTGCCAAAAACTAATCAGCACATCTCCTCATCAATGGGAATCGAATGTTTTTTGAACCATTCAAATCGGTTGATCCGTGCGCCCGAAAACGTGGACGAAAAGTTGTATCCATACATACATACATACACATACATTTTTTCTGACGTATGCCAAAATGTTCAGAAACCTTCAAAAGGCAAATAAATGTGAAAATTTTCAATTTCAAGTTTAAGACAATTACAATGACTTAGCCTACGAAAAGTTAATAACAAATTTGACACATTTTTTAAGTATAGTTTATAAAATTTTATTTCTATTGCTTTAATTTGAGTCAGATAGATAAATATATATATATATATATATATATATATATAAAAAGACTGAAGATGATAAAAAATATAAAATACTTCATATAAAATCTTTATAAGCAATGAACCCTAAAAGTCAAGTGATCTAGGAATTTCGATCCGTGTACACCTCTCCTAAAGCATACCTCGTAGAATTCTCAATTCATAAATCGCAACTTAAGACAGCTCAGTAATGAAAATCTGCAAATTGTATTATCTATGATCTTCAATGTAGCAAATAAATATAAAATATCTAGGTTCGTTCGTAATTGTATGCGGGTGTGTTCGTGCAAATTGCATATTCTGTATCGGAGCACTTTCTAACTTATTCATAAGACCCTTTAGACCGTAACGATATTTAATAGCCGTTGGATAGTGTTATATACATCTATTGTAGGTGAATATTTTGAGAACAATTGTTTGATGTTAGCCGATCGGGAATAACATTAAAATGATTTAAGTACAAATTTGATATAGAACAATAATGCTTGTTGGGCAACATTCTGAATGAGCTGCGTTCCAAATGTGATCCCAGGAATAAGGGCACCAAACCTTTATCAAAATTCGGCCAAAATGTCTTAAGCCTCAGTATAAACTTTTTCTCTGAAAATAGTTATTAAATTTAGAAATTTGCGAATGAAAACAAACATTAACAAAGAACTTTTTATTAGTTTTCAAGCTTTTAATCCAGGACTGGCAAAATGGTGAAAATTAACTTCATGGCCATGCATTACGAATTATTTTCCAGCAAGAAAACTATTAACTTCCTTATCAAGTTCACTTGTGTATTTTTAATATGCATTTTTTACTTGAAATCTGAAATAATCTCTAGATCGAGAGACTACTTTGGGTTGACTTCTAAAAAGCCAGGTAGTTAATTAGAAGTTTCATCACAACAGCTCTTAGAAATGTAAAGTACTGATTACTGTCTAAAAATTAGTAAAACTAAAATCTATCCAATTTAGGAAGAATAAGAGTTCAGAACTGTTTTTTAAAAACTATAGAAAATCATTGCAAATAAATAAAAATGAAACATGTGTATTAAATTCAAGAACATTATCACTTTAGTCACGTATATTCACGTAGATATGAATAGTGGCCAGAGGGGTAAAAAATCGTGGCTCAATATTCAAATCTTGTTTTCAAAATTATGGAAAATTTGAAAAATTCATTGGAGAACTGTTTTATTACAAATAAAAAACATGTTTCTCATCTGATTGATACGTCTAATTTTATATTTACACGAATTATACAAAAATTTAAATGAGGGCGTAATGGAAGCATTTTGTGGGCGATCAAGATTCGTTACTTCATTATTATCAAAATTGGGAAATTTATTGGTATTTATGTGGGTCACAAAAAAAAACCTCTTTAAACAATTAATTAGCGCACTAACATGATTAAAGCCTTTAAAAAATCATAAACTCAATCGTAATTAATTATTAACAGATGTTATTAGATTTAGATTCACTTCAGTTTTGCATCTTAATATAATTTAGTTTTACTATCAATAGTGGAGGTTTTGCTTAAAAATAAAATAAATTAGTTAGAACGTTACGGATTAATAATATATTTATCAGCAATAGCTCTATAATTGAAATCAAATTATTTTTAGCAATCGAGTATTGAAAGGTTTTCAATTTTGTGATTGTGCTTTCTGTTATAATTATATGATATTTAATCACATGATCGATTTTTTAAGAATTTATGTAGACTCCCTTGGTGACTTGTGGTGATATTCTCCTCCTTCCCAAACAAACATTACGTGTATTTTTAGTTACAAGATATATTGTAATTTTTTTTGAAAATGTTAGCATTTTTTATATAAAATTCAGATGAAAAATAAATACACGTGATATTTTACTGTACCCCTCCCTCGAGATCCCCCACATGATATTTTGTGATTTTTTTCAAAGCCCCCCTTCTCCCCCTAAAAACGTGATTAATGGACGCCCTCTAACTATCTGAAGTAGTAGAGATAAAGATTCGGGAGCTTCTTTCTCCTTTTTAGTTTTTAAATATAAAAAAATCGGTTGGACAACCCTGAAATAATTTTATAAGTATTTTATGCTAATGCAATATCCAGTTTTCTAATCTATTATTTCAATTATAATGTCAAAGCTCCGACAAACAGACAAAACAATACAAAATTATCTGCTCAGATATTCAGCACAATAATTATAATTTACCATTACAAAAAAGTTCATGTGTTCAAAAATCAATTAAACATTTCATAACAGAAAACAACTTTTGCTGCGTAGGTGACCAAAAATTAATGTCTAACACAGACACATCCTGTTTTGAAAGTAAAAAAAAAACTGTTCGTTATTATTTGTCATTATTATATATTACGTTCTACACGTATAATGCGAAATAGTACAATAATAGTTTTGCCTTGAACTTACATCTGCGGAGGTAATAGTTAATTGCGGGAAAAAAGATTTTACTCGACAAAATGCTCATCACTAATTGCAGAACTGCACTATTATTTGTATTTTTGCTCTATGTCATGGAGCAGAAAATCATGGAGCAGAAAAAATTTGTAGTAAGACTTTTATCGCTTCATCTGTTTCGAGTTATTTTTTTTAAAAGCTACTTGACTTTTAGAAACCTTCTAAAGACCTTAACAGAAGCATCTTTAATTTTAGTCATTTCTCTGTATCAATTTCATCATTTTCTTGTGGCATTTTATATATATATATTTACTGTAATTGATCTAGATTAAAATCTAAAATTCTCATATATTATTCAAATCATTTTGGTAAAAAATCTTATTAAAAACAATGATCTAACTTTTATAGTTCATAAAGAGAATAACTTGTTTTTTATTATGTTTCTCGGTCGTTGCCATTTCCTCCTAATTATAGCAAACTTTCTATTTGTAGCATTTTTGCAAATATATAATGCGACCGGATTGTTAATACTGTTTATTATCAATTTAAGAGTAGTACAAGTTGCTCTATTTAAAAAAGTGTAGATCATTTGATTTTGATCAAGTTTGTGTCGTACCTAATTTACATAGATAAACTTAAAATGTAAAAATATATTAAGCACGTTGTTTATATTATTTTATATTTTTGATTGTTATATATAATTTTCAATTGTTTGATCTGGAAACTATATTTTTTTTTATTCTTTCTGATTGTAGTTTTAAAGTGTACCAAAGTGCTAAGGGCTTTAGCTATAT